GGGGGGCCCGCGGCGGAGACGGCGGAAGGGGCTGCGGGGGAGCGGGAGACCGCCGCCCTCCTTCCGAGGCCTCCTGGAGGAGGCGGAGACCTCTACGGCACCAACAATTGGAATAGTCGGTCTACAAATACATTAATGTATCTCCACCTGCGGTTTTTAAATGATTGATTGTGAGCCTATTATATAACCGCGAAACATCACTTTCTTCCTGAAACTATCTCACGGATCCAGTGGCCACGGGGGAGAAATGAATTAGATGGCACAACAATGTAGGTTACCGACGTGAGCAATTTTTTTTTCCTGTAAAACCAAATTATCCCTTAAAAAAAAAAGAATTGAAGTTTTAAATTTAAAGTTATCCAATAAATTCAAAACAAATTTAAATTACTGCTCATGTCATACTTTGCCTCAGTAAGTCTGGTCATTTAAAAGTGAATATGCCAGCTTCCGACAGTTCCAGGCTTCTTGGAGAAACATCTTAACATCTCATTACCAGACTCTCAGGCCGTAGTAAAAGAGCCAACATCTTAGAAACCCAGAAAATTCAGTGTCCCACATATTGCTTGACTCCTTTTTCCAGTAAACTCCTTCATCTCAGTAAACTCCTTCCTCCAAAGACAGTCTGTCCAGCCACCAAGCTATTAATGACTCCAGAGGTCCTCTACGGTCTGGAGAACCTGTGGGAAGTCAGCGCAGTGTAGCCATTAATGCTAGCATCACATTCACAAAAGGTCCAGAAAACAAAACGAAGCAAAACAAAACACAAGGGCAACACAGAAAACACTTCCAACTCCCAGGACAGAGCAATTAAATCACACAGCTTCTTTACGGAGTACAATTAAGTACAATTAATTGCATTTTAATCTGAAGTCAAACAAGTTAAGAATGCTGTTACAATATTCAGAATGCAGCTTTGCTGCTGCTGGATAGATGGTTCTTGCAGAGCTTTGTGAATTCAAGAAACTCAGAAGTAGACAAATTAATCTGATTGTAAAAAAAAAAGTTCATGTCAGAGGACAGAAATGCTTCTTACATTTAACTAAGAAGGCTTACACGTAAGTTAAAAAGTTAAATAGCTGTCTCCCCCCTCCTCCCCCCCCAAACTCTGTGTTGACTTTTTCTAATTCTGCATCTGCCTGGTATCTTGTCAGAATCGCAATTTCTCCTTGGGCCACTAGGTGGAAGCAGATCCAAAAGCAAAACTGGCCAAATGGCCAAATTCTAGGGCTGATTTAACAAGGAACCGGAAACCAATTAGTTACATTTTCCCCCACTTCTTATGCTAAATGGTTTAATTTTGTTTCATTTCAGATGAAGGTGAGTATCAGGTGCAGGTAATGTGGTTTCCGTACAATCTGTTTCCCCTGAATATCATTTAAGTGTGAAGTATTATCAACATAGTAGGTAACTATTACCCAAGCAAAGAGGCAAAGATGCTAGTATAGCGAGCAATTTAAAGTCTCCGGGTTTTTACTCCAAGTCACAACCTCAGCTCCAGAAGTAGTAAGTGAGACCATTAAAAGTATTTCTTTTGCTTTAAGGAAGCAAACTGAATCTTGAAATAATACAAGCTTTTAAAATTTCACTTTCAGTAGTGACAGTACAAGTTCTTCTTAATCCAGTGGTTCTAAAAAGAGCTCAAAGATTTTTTCCTTAAACCTGCAGGCTACCGTTTTATAGTTAAGCTATGCATATAGACCTTTCACGAAACAAACAAGCAGACAAACGAAAAAAAGAGGCCATTTGAAATTAATTCTTACTCCATGTTTAACAATGAGAAATGGAATTTTTGTTTTTGAATTAAGTAAGTGTCTCAGTGTAAAGCAGTTTGCTACAAATTTCCTGACAGCATATTTTTAAAACTTGATGATAGGACAGAAACCCTTCTGCAAATTTACCTTGAACAACGAATGTTTTTCTGCTTCTGTCAAACGCTAAGGAAAAAGCAATATTGCATTCCGTATGCTGTATTTCGGGTTGCTTAGAATACAGTAAAGTGTCTGTAACCTGTCCATTCAGCTACGTCTTTTCTTGTAGTCGTAGCCGCCTGAATAACTAGCCCGTCATATTTTGTTATGATTAGCGTTCAACCCTATTTCCTTAGCTTAAAAATTACTGAGACGTTAATTAATGTAAATTTATCTAATTTGTACATGAACAACTGAGTACCTATATGGTAAGGCAGTGCCAAAGTGCTATCCCATGTGCACATGTTGCGTGGTGCAAGCGTGAAGTACAGGCTAACTGTTTTATCTGTTTCTCCCTACCGGGCCTAGGCAGGTCTGTACTACCTCCGATACGTCCATGTGCAAACTGCCCTGGTATATCCCGCTGCGGGACCACCGTAACCAAAGGATGTTCGTAACAAGCTACTAGCTAGTAAGTGAGGACATTGCCTGTTTCTTCAGCCTAAGGAGGGCAGATGGCCACACTGAAGACACTTTCAAAGAAGTTTTACTCTTAAACATAAAGGTCAGGCAAACCTTAGCTACTTCTTTCCTTCCCCCTTTAGATGCCAGACAGCGTTAATAGTTGACTTTCCAAATAACGTACGAGAAAGATTAAATTATTTTCAAATTACTTACTGGAAACTAAAAAAACTGAAAAGGTGTTTCTTTCATAGCAATTATATTAAAATGTAAAACATAAATACAAAAGTGAGGTTTTGTACCTGGTATCACACGCATCAGAAGCGGTGTGCAGCTCTACTGATAATGTTATCTATAAAACAACAAAGATGCAAAATTAAAGTCAACAAAGATGTGAATTAATACTAAATAAAATGTCTACAGTTAATCGTAAGCAAGTTAAATGTGTGGCACATATTAAGAGCTCATGTAATTTCTCTTTAGGCAAAGAATTAACGTTGCACACATGGAGTATATCCTCGGAAGGATAGTCAAAGTGATTAAACAGATGTAGGACATAAATAATTACAATCCATCATGAAGGGATTAAATAAGTAAGAGAGATTCTTTCATCATCAGTGAACATAAGCTAAGAAACTATTCTAAAGGTCTGAAAATTAACTTGAAATAGATCTCATGTTCATTGAAAGGAGGCATTTTGAAAGCCATCTTCAAAAAATCTGACTCTGTTTTATGTTGCCTAACTGTTCTGTATAGAGCAAATGACCGGAAACTAAAGTCATACAAAAGTCTAAATTTTAAAATCCTGAAATCGGTTATGGATTAGAGACTTACCTGCTTCTCTACAAATAAGAATGCTGAGTGAAGGAAAACTCATTTCTTTCTAACAGACTATATGAAATGTGTAATTTAAAAACAGGTTGTGAACTGATGGAAAAATATCAAGACCATTCACTCTTTAACATATAAAAAAAATGCAAAAGTAAAGCCTGATTACTAAGTCCGTCTATGTTAGAGAAGATGATACTAAACATAAGGTCTAAACTAAACATATGTCACAAAGATATATTTACATTTACGCTATTTGGTCAGATGCATTCTACTCTCTATACTCCCTTTATACTCTCTGTACTCTCCATACTTTGTACTTTATTCTCATACTTCGTGTAAAATAGAGTTCTGAATTAATGTAACTACATCAATTTGCTTCCTTCAGGACTACGTCTGTGCAGGTCAGGGCTGCTTGTAAGAATATGGACTACCTTCATGCAGAAAGCTTCTCTAATAGGATGGAAAATCATTTCAATTTGATCTCTGGAATAATACTGGGGGCTTGCTAGAAGAAAAAAAGTGTTTTTTTGTTTGTTTTTCCCTTCAATTTCAGAAATTGAAAATGAGGGTAACTACACTGGCAGACTAATGATTTTGGGGGCCAGAAAACTGACCCCTTTAAAATGTGAAGGGGAAAAAAATATATTTTAAATGTAATCCTGTTCAGTCCAATTGAATCCTTCAACCATCCTGATTATCTCAACTTGAATCTAAACTCAAGTATGTGAATTTAAACTCTCACACTCCTCTACTATAGTAGAGAGGGGCAATGCTCATGCAAGTAGAAATGCTATCTCCTTTCTGGCCTTGGCTTACTGTCCAAGAGGACAAATAACAGTATTTAGTAAGTGATGACACATCTATGTCTTTGGATATACATAAAATGAATATTCGCTTTTCTTTTGGACTGAATCTTCAGGATCAGCAGTGCATCTGCCAGCATAACATAACCACGGGTTGGAGAAAGAAATGAATGTGTTGAAGAACACTGAGAATGCCATATGGAAATTCTTCTGTGGGTTATCCCACTGAATCGTCATATATAGGGTTAGTTACTTCTCCATATGGTGTTTAAGGAACACATTACTGCTGGAATATTTTCCAAACGCTATTTTTATGTTTTGCTGTATGATGCAATTGTGTTAAAATCACATCATAACCTGCACCTACGGTAAGATATGTTAATGCACCCAAAGAGCTTTACACAGTTTCCTCCACATTTAAGCAATTATAATATTCTCCCAACTCATTTTTGAAGAACTGTATGTAATTCATTCACTGCTATACAAACATTTCTGCATAAGCAGTCTGCAAGTTTTACAAAAATGGGTGTGGGTGGTATGAAATCACTTATGTTCCTAACTGACAATTAATGCAGTTCCTTCTAGTTTCATGCAGGAAAACTCAGTGCAGATTGGCAGGATAAAAAGGAAGGGGAAGGCATACGTTTTCATTTTGCAAACAGTTTGTGTCACGCTATTTAAATCAGTTTTAGTTAAACTAGCTAAAAACTAATCACTTTTAGCTAAAATAAAATCATTTGATTCTTGCTATTCCATACATTAGCTAGCAAGTTCTATCCAGACAACATTAGAATTATGTGAACTGCAGATCAGTGGCTATTCCCATTTGTACCTATATATGAATGACACGAGTGAATGAAAGAAGAATTTTGCCAGTATGCATTAAACCTGAATACTTCTCAAAATACCTTACTAAAAGAGTCAGAAAGTACTTTGCCTATTTATTCTAACTCCTGTAACTTTTAAAAATAAAAATAATATGCATAATTTACATATTAACCTTAGCAGTGAAGTAAGTTTTTACAGAACTCTCATTTCTTCTATAGGAAAGGAAAAGCTACATGCCTGACCGAAATGCAGAGAGGGGATCACTGTTCTGGTTGATCACCAAAGGGCAAGGTCACAAGGATCAAATGAAACATCCTCTGTTAGGCAGCTATAAATAATATACATGATAGCACAATAGTTCATTTTTAAAATAATATCTAAATGTATCAGAATTCAGATACTGAAGAATAAAGGTTTTTTTTTTCCATATGCTGTGCCATATATTTAAAAATTCATAGGTAAATTCTTATCATCTTATATCACCGAAAGAATATTAAAATTACTTTTCTCTTTAAAATGGTTATATTTACTTTCCTTGGGTAGTGAAATTAAAACAGACCTTAAAAATCACTAAGCACCTTATCTACGAAATCTAGGAACCCTTCACCCTTCTGGGTGCCTATGCTCTTCCCAATGAAAGCCATTTCTCTACCTGTCTGGAGCACTGCCACCACCTAGATGCTAACCAGAACGCCACCTGCTCATAGGTAACCAAACCAGGAGGCATGCTCAGAGCAGACTTACTGCAAGAGATACCGAGCTCAAATATGACAACACCAAAACATATAATTTACCAGTATTCCCACTTCACAGCTGTAACCTTAAGGGAGAGATTTCTCTTTTTACAGTAGCATAGTAATTAAAAATATTGATGTAGAAAATACACACCTTGGTTCAACTTCCTCAGCCCAGAGGCAATCAAACATCGCTCCTTCAGAAGGACGGGGCAGGGGGGGAATCTTTCTAAGCACCCTGTTATAGGCTGCCATAGAGATATGAAGATAGGGGGCTACTGTTCCATTCATGGTGTAAAACTGAGTTAATGGGCTGAAAAACGCATCCTTTGGGTCAGAGAAACGGACAGAGGCAACACGGAAAAAGGATTTTTAAATATATATTGCTTTAGGTACTTCCCTCAGGGGAAAAATAAAGAGTGCAGGATCTTAGCTGCTGCTCTCTAAGTCATTCACTATTTTATTCTCCTAAACTGAGAGGGCTTTTTTGTTTGTTTTGTGAAGTTAGGCCTACTCTGTTCTTTATAAGAAGGGACGCATCCACCAAGTACCGTTCCAAGCTCTGGATTCTTGAGCGGCTAGAGCACGCAGGTAAGCTTTGGAAAAGGTTTAATACTCGAGATACTGGTTTGTGCGTAGAGTTTCCCATTGGCTCTCTCTTGGTAACTCACTGTACTGACCGTCTCCGATCCCAGTCTGAGACATCATACTCTCCCCAGGCGCTGTTTAGGAGGCCTCGGCGTCTAAGTCCGAGCTCCGGAGTCCATTCTGGCGGTAGAGGGTAACCTGCAAGACACAAAATCCCTTCTTTGTATCAAGCCTAGCATCCATTTAAGAGGTGAAAGGTTATGCTAATGTATGAGATTATAACAAAAAAAATATAGAAAATATTGCTACTCTTGCTACAAGACGTTGTCAAGAAGTAAACTCTTTTAGGATCTATAAAGGAAACTGTGATTTTGTTAAATCAAATTTAGAATTTCTTTCTCAGCTTTTATACCGTTTATACTCAATCACTACAGAGGCTGGGATTGTCTGCTTTATCAGCTATTGGAGTCTCTAAACCTATTAAATACCAAGTCATCCTTTAACAGATGTATGCTCCAATGTAACCACAACCCTACACATTTTCAAGAAATGCTTACCGTACCAGGCTACTACCACTCCCGTTTTATTTACCTTGCTTTACCTATTTCTTCATCTGCCACTTAGTTCATGATGAATCATAAGTTATATCTAAAACACGTATAAAAATTTGAATCAGTTAGTGTTCTTTATATAAATCTTATCAATACTACTCGTTCTAATGACAGTACCAGAATAGAATAGGCAAACGTTTAAGTGTATTTACTTATTTATTCAACAACTATCACTAGACCTATCCAACAATACAAAGTGTTGTCAGTAACATTTTCAAAGCAGGGACAACAAACTGCTACAACAACAACTGAAATTAATATCCTAACTATGGCATTAATGACACAAGGGAAATCTGAAGAACACTAACACGGCCATTTTGCTGAAAGTTTCAGAAATATTCAAACAAACAAACGAACGAACGAACAAAACCAGACTGATACTGAACGTCAGGAAGCTGCCAAACGCAGCAGCTTGCCAGAGGCAGGGCTGCCGCAGCTCCACGCACCCGGGTCCGGCCGGTAGCTGCGCTGAGCCCGCGCTGCCAGCACACACAGGCACGCGTACACACAACACACACAGCAGCCACCGAGCAACGCAGGCAGAAACACTCGGCACTTGTGCAAACAGCACCGACAGCCTCACCCTGTTCTCCTCTGTCTGATACGGATGAAGGCCCCTTACTGGGAAATACATACACACACTTTGCATCCCTCCAGTAGCCGGCTCTGGATCCCTGGCCTCCCCAGCTGCTGGCACCTAAACGTACCAGCCCCCGAGCCCCGTGTCCCCTATCCAGCTGCTGGTGCAGCCCCCCGACACACACCAACACGCTGGGAATCACTTCACTAAGCAGACTTAGACACAGAGTCCATCCAGTAACTTGTCCTGGATCCTCCTTCTCCAGCCAGACACGCGCACGCAAACCGCCCTTGGCTCCCAAGCCACTTGACCTGCTGGCCGGCTCGTCTGCCTTGATATTTGCTAGCAACCACAGGCTGCCATATATTCCCTTGCTCAGTCCGGTGGCTGGCACCACAGGCACGCCGGCCCCCGTGACCCGCGGTCCCCACTCCGGTTGTCGGCACTTGAGTCCACTCTTCCCGTCTCTTCAGTTGCTGACGCCACACACGGGCCTCTGTGACCCACGGCCGGACTCCAGTTGCTGTTGCGTAGACCTCCGCACACACACAACAGACAACCCCTCACCCGGCAAAACGCTTCGACATGAACTCACACGAGAAGACAGAACAGACACTTGTTCCTCCCCAGACCGCCTTGATCCCTTCCTTTTCCTGCCTTTGGTTCTTCCCCTAACCATCCCGTAATAAGTCTCGTGCAATCCCAAAATGCTCTTCCACTGCCTCCCATAACGTGGGCAGCAGGCAGTAAGCCCCCCTCCATCTGTCAGGTGAGGCAAAGAGCCTCTCCAGCCCGCTCAGCGGGAGGGTTTCCCACACGCACCCCGGCCAGCCCTGGCTCTCCCGGGACAGCTCCAGCTCCGGACTGGGTCATGGGGCTTCCCCGCCTGCCACTCTGCCTCCGGGCTCCTTCCTCTTCGTGGAGACCACCTTTTCATCACATAACCTAACACTGAAACAAGTAATCTAATTACTTTTAGGTCTCTTACTGTAACATCTGCAAACCACAGCTCATCAGGACACATAACCAGCTGGGTGTCTCTCGATCACTGTCATCGTAACAACCAGCTCGAGACCCTCTCCTTTGAAAAAACACCTGAAGCATTTTACAGTTACACTAGCACACGCAAATAGGGGGCAAGGAAGGGCAAGAAATCAATGTGCCTGTAAGTTATTCAAATTAGAATAAACATTTTAAAAATTCTGGAATAATGGAAGGGAAAAAAACAGTGAACGTAAAAATAAAACAGCTGAAAACAGATTTGTTTTCCAGAGCTAGTAACTATTGCTGGATTTTATGTTCCTCTGCCTCCCTCTTACATTCTTTGAATTTTTCTGCAGGAGCATCTTATCATTTAGGTATCCCCGTAAAGCATGCTGCTTACTCTGAGTACCTGGCATACTAGCAAAACATGCAATTTTAAACAACAATGTGCAATTTTAAAAGTACCACTTCTGCAAAATGCTGAACAACGCCACCTCGATCCTAAGAAAGCTGGCGTGCAATATAAACAGAATAAACTCATTCTTTCCAGGAAACACTGAGGGCATGTTTTCAAATGCAACACAGTCAGGGAAAACAGCATTCTGACATACTGATTTGCTGGCTGGCTAAGTTAGTATTTGTTACTTGTTCTTTGTTTACTGTTGCTACAGAACAGAGTTTGTATTAGAAATACAGTTTTAATATTGCTAAATTATTTAATAAAATTAAATTAAAAAATGGGATAAAATGTATTAAAACTTTGTCAAGGGATCCCTAATTCTATTTACAAGCCTAGAAAAACTCCATTTTAACACCTCCTCCTTTTTTAAACTTACCATTACTGACTGTTCTTGTTATTTCCTGTAAAGTAAGACCAAATCCCCAAATATCAACATGCTTAAAGGCAAAGCAATCAACCAAAACAGATTTATTAAGAAGTCCTGGTGTCATGTATTGTTTTGTGCCAACTTTAAGATTATTTCCAACATCTAACTGGTTGTTTGTCAGCAAATTCAGTACTGCAAAGCCTAAAATTAACACACAAAATACTTTAGAATAAAAGTTTGATTCATACAGATTTGAAGTTAGCATTGCCACATAAAAATAAATCAGTATTACCTACTTAATAGCAAGCCAACTATATAGAAAGGCTGGAGTGCTACAGCGGCACAGAAATGCTCTAATAGGAGATAATTAAATCTGTGCTAATTAATCCCTGATATTACTGAAGTCTAGCTGACTATGTCTCTCAATCATAAAGGCTAGACAAGGGTGAAAGCTGATCAGAATACTTCCTTCAAACTACTTGAAGGTGATTAGCTCATTACAGGAGTTGTTTAAAGAAAGAGCTGAAGTAATGCTGGAACTCTAACGTTATTTTGACAGCTTGTGAAGGATTGGGAATGCACAAAAAGACTTGAAAAGATAAAATGCAGAGCTTCTTTTTAAAAAGGGACAAAGGAAAGAACTAAGAAATTATATAGCAGTCAACTTTGTTTAGATTCTTTGGAAAAAGGAGGAGGAAACAAAGGAATAAATAGTCCAACACGCTATTTTTTAGCACTATCAAGACAGCAAGCAACAGTCAATATGCATTTCGTCAAGAACAAGTTGTGTCAAACATAAGGATTTCCTTTCACAACAGCTGAAGCAAGGAAAATTCAGTTTAGACATCAAGAAGAGCTTTCTGAAGACAAGGCTAGTGAAGCAATGAAACGTATTGCCTAAGGAAGTTGTAGAATATCTATCAGCGGAGACTTTCAGAAACAGTATAGAAAAAATATTTGCCAACAACATAGGTATAGGCTACCTAACTTGGCGGAGTATGAAAGGTTTGCTGATTTCTTGGAATCTTTCAGCCCTATTTTTCTACGATTATTTAAATAGACCTCAGTACAGTGAAAAATGAACAGAACTTTCAGTTAACATGGTAAATATTATTGTAAAAGGATTTTGTCTTTAAAGGGCAGAGCTGAATGCGCTCATAAACAAACCTGAAATAGCTGAAAGCACTCTTGTTCTAGCTGAAGCTTTGTAACCGACCTCCTATAAATGTTTTGCTCCTAACTCTGTAATGGAAACATAGCAAAGGAGGCTGTTGAAATTTTTCAGCTTGTCTGAGGATTAGGAAAAAAGTTACATATTCAATTTAGGAATAAGATCTAATCACCAAAAAAGACAGCAATAAACAAATCATTTCATCTCTAGAAAACATTACCTTCTTGCAAATGTTTTTTAAGTGTCAAGACTCATTTCCTAAACTTCGGACCTGCCAAATTTCATCTCTTTCCAGCACAAAGGTCAAACTCATTGTTGCACTGTTCTCTTTATTCAAAATGTGCACGTTTTCTGTGAGTCACATTCCTATATTTTAAGACGTAGCGTGGGCAAACTAGGCTTATGTATCATTGGAGGTACAGCCTCAAATACTTCAAAGGAGGAGACGGAACTTCTGCTGCAACTATGCAATAAAAATGAGCATATAAAACCTTAATTTTCTATCTGCTATTGTGAAATGGATTACTAGATCCTATCAAGTCAACTTAAGTTTTGTAAACAGTTCAATCAAATGACAGTTAATGAAAGTTCCCATGCCTGTCTTTTGCCTTCTTTTGCCTTTAGCACACGCACCTTCTATGAATGGTCTACTGCACTGCTGTATTCACAGTCAGCTGTGGCAGCAACCTCTTACTGTCATTACTCTCTCTTTAATAAAGAAGGAATATGTAATGAACATTTGAAAAAAAGCTAACAAAAACAACCTGTTCTAATAACAAAAACCAAAAGAATTACAGATATTAGGAAAGAAGTGAGAAATAACCCTGCAGAATTAATTCATCCCAAGAATATTAGCTATGCATTCCTTCCTTTCTCTACAGCTACTGCAAATGCCCACTCGAGTATAGGACTGGAAACAGTAATCTTAGCAAAATATGTGCTTTGAATATGTTTATAGAACTATTTTCCTCAAAAGAACGCATAAAATAGGCCTATTTGAGAACGCACTGTGCAGAGAGTACATAGCTAAGTTATATGAACCTAGATCTATAAAGACGTAATAGAATTATTCTATTTTGCACGCTTAAAATAGATGTGTAATGGTGAAACAATACTATAAACTATTACCCGGGATATTATTAAATTTAATAGTATGTCAAGCGCTAAACATCCGGAAGGTTTAGAAAAAAAAATATGAATGAAGTAGGCAATTTGGATTAAGAACCCTTTCTAGAAATATTTATAATTTATTAAGAAGTTATCCTTGCTTGCTTTGCTCCACACCTCAATTAACTACTTACAACTTAATCATTCAACAAACTGCAACTTTAGTAATCCCCTCTGGTGTATGTACAATGATACTCTATTGAAAACTAGAACATGACTTAGAAAAATGAGATTTTTTGACCTACCTGCACATTCCATTAGCATTATTTGATGAGCTACTATTCTTTGCACCAAAAATGGTAACCCTGAGCCACTTCCTGAGGTACAAGAATGAGCAAACAAATCCTTAAAAAAGGGGAGGGTTTTTTTTTTTCAGCTAAAACAAAGAAATCATTGAAATAAAGCAGATTTTAAAAAAGTTTCAGAGTTTTTGACTGGCATCACTTAAAACTGACCAAAAGAAAAAAAGGTATGTAGATGACTATATCTTATGCTTAAGTTTTCTAAATCAATTAGATTTTGTAGTGACTTTTAAATATAATTTTTATGCAACAAACATTTTAATTTACCGCATGTGTGCCATTTCCAACATTTGAAGCAGGCCAGCCACCATACCATGGTCATGTGCATGTAACTGATGCATTTGAGTTTGACCAATCCTGTAATGGGCCTTAAACCACAAATGACAGACTTAGCAGTGCTGCAATAGGACTTACGACAAAGATAAAAAATTAACTGTGCTGCATTGTATTGCTTCCAATGCCGGAAAAAAAGAAAGAATATGTGCAGTTTGCATATCTGATTTTACTTTATCTAATTCAAATTTTCTCCAGCGCCATAGAGGTATTACAATTTGTAGAAGCGTTAAAACTTACCTCTAAGTAATTAATTGCCTCCATTTGATTACTTTCACTTCAGCA